TTTTGAAAGTTGAAGTTCTCGTTATACATATATTAATATATTATTGCTACACAATTTTGTAAAAAAAAAAGATTATTTCTTTTTAATTTTTATATTATTTCCAAGACTTCACAGTACTCTATAGAGTATAGAATACCTAGTATAACTAAGTCAAAAACCAATATAACACTATTTAATAAGCCCAAACCAAATTTGTACACTTCGTTATATTTTAAAAAAACATAGTATAAAAAAACCAAAAAATTATTATGTGTGCTTAAAACTTCATCAGTATTAACAAAAAAATTGAAAAAGTTTTTAAAATTATTGCACTTTAAAAGAATTTAAGAAACTAATGTTTAAGTAATTAGTTATATACCAAAAAACACACATTTTAAATATAAGTTTTGTTTTTAGTAAATCAAAAATTGTCAGTTAATAAAAAAAAAGTTGAAATATCGAATAAAGTTCTTAAAATACATTTAAGCTAAACGTTTAAACGTCAATCCTTGAGTAAAAATAATCGGTATTTCACCAAAACTAAAATTGAAGTAGGGAAACATTTTGATGCGTATTATTAGGATCTACGATTAAGGCAATTTATTTGTACGAATATAAACAAACTCTGAAATAATGAACTAGAAAAAATATTTTAATACATTTTAATGTTTGTTTCCCTTAAAAAACTTGTAAACGGGTTCCTTTATAAGTGTCTATTTTTTTATTACCACATTATAACCAGTATAAAAAGCAATGCTTGTTTTAACAAGTAATTCTTGATGAACGCCATAAACACTATAGTAGGATACTTACTTACAACTGTTTTACATAAAACATAAGGGTTCCACACATATTAGAATTGGTATTTTATTAATTATAAATTATAATAACATAACAGATTAAATATGTTTTATTTAAAAACTGTATAACAACAATATTAAACTATAGTAAAAATAAATGAATAAGCATTTAGTATATTAGATGCAGTTTTAATTTGCCCAAGCATGGTACCTTAAGAAATACAACCATAATTTATTTTCTTCGAAACAAATTTGCAAAAATATAAAAAGTGGTATTCATAATTGATAATCAAATTGTCTAGTATCCCCATCTGAAAAGCTGACTAAAAAGTAAAAATGTGTGTGTGTGAGTAATTTCTTACGTTCTACACTTTAATGGAACTTCAAGAACGATGTCATAATGAACACATGACAATCGCGTGAACAGATGAATAATATTTTTCTAAGAACCTCAGTATACAATTACACGTGTTGCAAATAAACATTAAAACACATTATTAAACCTACACTAAAAGTTGTTTGTACTTATAACTCATAAATAATTAATATTTAATTGAGTGAAAATCAAAATATTCAAGAATTACGTCATTGCCTCCGAGCGTAATTGTAATTTAACTTTAATCTACAAAAATTTAACACATTTTTTGTATTATTATCATGGTTGACTATTTATGGCTTAAAAACTAAAATATCCAAAATACCTATATATTAGGTAGTAATAAAAATAATTAAATCATACATACATTTTTATTTTAAACTGATAAAATAATAGCTATATAAAATAATATTATTTGGGGCTGTTAAAAACTGTAATTAATAGATTTCTAATGTTTTAGGACTAAGATAATAGATCATTTTTTCTAAACCACATAATATACACATAATCCTACTGACAACACAGTTTTGTTTTACCAGTGGACACTGTGATTATAACAAATAATATTACCATTGAGGCAAGACTTAGATAAATTCAAGGGACATTTAGCTTTAAGCTTAAAATTTAAATATATAAAATAAAAATGATCAAGACTCTTAATTTCTATGAAAAATGCACATTCTCATACATATGTTATATATATTATATAAAATATTTTATCATAAAATTCCAGTGCTTAAAAGAATATAAGTATGTACCTACAACTCGTATATTAGGATTTTAAGAAATCCTTTCTACATTCTACAAAGATCAAAGTATTAAGTTCATTTATTTTTTAAATTATAAAAGTATACAAATTTAATATAAATTAAATTTGTTATGCTATAACAAAATTCGTTATTATAAATATGATATAAAAAATACCACTAATAAATTGCTAATAAAAACCTATTTCCTTGATCTTGGAACAACGATTTGAGGAAGCGCACCTTGAATGAAACTTCAGAGACCGGTTTTGGCGTTTGAACGAAGGAAAACTACATACGATATTTAAATCGACTTATTTTTAGTTGTTTTTTTTTGCGGTTTTGCCAATTCAATGGGATAAAATTATCAAATTTAAGGGGCGTCAGTCTGTGGTGTAAAAATCGGGTAGGCAAAGTGGGTAAATGTCACGGGCCCCCGGCTGTAAGGGCACCTTATAGTTACCTATTAAAATGTATTAATGAGATATAACCATCTAGTAGCATAATGTTGTGTGGTATAATACTTAATAGTTAATAGTACAATAATACACAGAAATGGTCACCTCAGTTGTAACTCAGCACTTGACGGCTGTGTCCGTCGCTGCTTGATTCCGGATAGGTGATCACTCGTCATATTTATATTATATAATTTGGAAATGGTGAAAATAACGGCGGTTACAATATAGCATTTTGTGTCTTATGTGTATAATTATATTGTAACCGCCGTTATTATTACCATTACCGAGTTATATTTAATATAAATAAAAGTGTTGTAAATCGTAAAAATTCATTATCGTAGATAAACAAATACTACGATCGTAACACATGTAAAATTAACGTACATGGGATTTAATTATAGAAATTGTTGATAATTAAAAAAATCTTCGTTAAATGGAAATTATCTTTTAGACTTAATTATGGGTGTAAATATAATATTGCAATTAAGTATTATAAAGAGGTTGATCGAACACTATCAATAACTTAAGAACATTTTTAAGTAAGTATTTATCCGAAATTAGATACTACATTGTTTCGACTAGAAGAAAGGTTTGAGGTCTTAAATAATAAATGACGCCGTCAGTCAATAAAAAAATGTTAAATCATTTTATAATAAATATATATTTTGCCTCATTAATATCAAGGTATGTGAGCTGTGCAACTTTTGAATTATTTAGCAGTATTCAATGTTAAACCCATGGATTTAATATACTAGGTTATTGCAGATCCCTTCTTTATTATATTATCAATTTACAAAATGATAGCGTAAGGGTACATAATTATTTTTTTGATAAATATATACACGGTATATTTATAAAATAAATGAATTTGATTGACTGGACCCTTACAATGTCATTTTATTTTTATCATCATTCGATAGAGAGGGGGTAGAGATGTAATAACCTAGTATATTTAAGCCATGTTAGAACCTATGTAATCAGTAATAGTTATGAATGTAAGTAGTTTCACTTTATAAGACAACCCATACAACGTATAAAAATAGTTTAAAACTATAATATATTAATATGATAAATTTACCTTTTAAAATTTTAATTCTAACTGAAAAGAAATGTCATAAATAAGTTAAATTTCCATTATCAACTAACATTACAACTGTATTTTGATTTATCAGGAATTATATATTATTTAAAACCCTGAAGTTTATGGAGTGTGTATTGAAAAAAATGGAAGATAAATACTCTCAGCTAACTACATTATACATAACTAAAAATACCATTATTGATCACTGGAACCTGCGTTTAAAATCTTAAAGACTTTTATTATAAAATTGTACTCAGATTTCTTAAAGCGATAGACAAAGCTCCAAGAATAATTTAATCCCTATTAATATGAGGAGCACTAAATAGAATCGGGTTTTTACTACGCATTTATAATTTGTTTAATAGTCCGGAAAGCTCCAAGGGATTACAATTTACAATTCGTTCGTACTAATACAATATAGTTTATATATAACAATATAATATTAGTCCTTTGCTGTCCACCAATACTAGACAGGCTAGGACATAAGGACACAGGAGAGGCAGTACATTTTTTTCCAGATATGCGTTTTACGCTCAATTCCGCTATTATAGATAGAATGTTTAATGTCTTAAACGTGAAATAATGATTATCGACGTGGATCTCGACTGCAAATATAGGGGGGAGGGTTGCAAAGTGTTTAGTGTGAGTTTTGAGTCTGTTTTTACAACACTTCATATAAAAAAGACAATGTAGAAAAGTTTAGTTTTTGTTGGTTTGTGCCTTGTGGCAACCGTGAGCGTAAAACGCATATTGGGACATTTTTGCATTTTATCCTGCCTAAGTAGTCCCATCCACGTCTGCTTATCATAATTTCATGGTCTGGACATTAAATTTCATCTATAATAATAGAACTGATCATAAAACGCATATTCGGAAAAAATGTCACGGCCCCCCCAGATTATATGGTAAAATACACAATCTATAATTTGTATTCATAGTGTTTTAATAAACACTTATCTTTAAAGTAAAGATAAAAAAAATAGTTATATTAATATACAAATATTGTAATTTATAATTAATAACTAATCTACAAAGGAATGGTTTGTCATTACTCATTATATAATATTAAAATAATTTAAACAGAATAATGTTTTACGCACATTAAAATATTTTCCATGAATGATAAATTAATTATATATTCTCACTCTAAATCATTTCAGTTATTATCAAATTTCATTCACAGTGTGCTTTTATTAAAATTGATTGAAACAAAAATATAATCAATATTGTTAATATTGTTAATATAATAACACAATTATAATAGTTCATAGATGGGTTTAGTTCAGTGTAATATCAAAATTCAATTTTATTATTTTTATTTAATAGTGTATTTTATGAAAATGAATGATTTTTAATATTATATGTTGATGAAATTTGATTTTAGCTTTGCTACGAAGCTAAGAAGGAACCTTTTTGGTTTTACAATTATAAGCTTTTTATTTGTTTGTAAAAACAATAACATTTTTTCCCAAAAACCAATCCATGAAAAATTATATTTCGTAGTTATTATCTAGTTATTTTACATAGCCGCAAAAAATGTTAAAAAATCTATATTCTTACTTAATTCGAACATTTTCATTTTAGTAATTCACTCTCTTACTTGATGCTTCCAAGTTCCATTTCAATCCTAAATCCAAACTTTTAAACATATGGTTTTCATAACTATTAGTATAAAATTTTATGAATAATGGGTATTTTAAAACAATTAAAACCATCAACTTTTAAACGTAATTAATTATCTATTTAAAAAAAAAAATAAACTAAATACAATTAACAAATTTAACAATTTTAACTGTTTTTAAAACATAGGAATAACAACTGATTACTAATATAGTATAAAACAAGAATCATAATACTAGCGGCGTATAACCAGATCTGGTCGGTTGACCTTCTGTGTTATTTAAGAAGAGAAGTAAGGGAACAGATATCGTATGATCTTGAATTATAGTTAATGGAACATAAGTAATATTAAATAAGTATAAGTATATTTTTCAATTCTTTTTTATATAACATTTAAAATAGCCATGCATACTACTATGCTATTTTAACAATAATGTTCGGCAAGTCAATTATCATACTAAAAAAAACACATTATATAACCGTTATTTAAATTAATTTAAGCATTTTTTTTTTAAATTTAAACTAACTTACGTTATTAATTAGTTGTTTTAAAATTAAACACCCGAGTTTATTGTTTTACGGAGTAATAAATAACTCAATAATAAAAAAAAAATAGCATAACTATAATAATAATGTTCAATAAACAAAAATATAAAGAACATATTATTATGTCTTTGTATAAAGTTGTTTGTCCATCTAATCTTAAAATTAATAAATAAAACAATGTTAGATAATCGTTTTTTCTGATAACTATGAAAAATAATGCTTACACTAAAATATAGCTTTTTGTGATCATCGAATTGTATCTCTATAACTTGGGAATATGTCTATTTGATTATCAATAATGGACAAATTGTTTTTTAATTTGTATGATATTGATTAATGAACCCCTGTCTCACACTACTTCCAGCTTGTCTAAATACAAGACGTATATTAAGCCGGCCATACACGTTCCTTCCTGTCTACCGGAGAGGTCTGCCTGCACAGTTTTCCGGAGCGTGTGTATGTGTGTACGCACAGGTACACGGTACGGTGCACTCGAAAAAATTGATTTTCGATCTTGCACCGGTGGCCTGTGCAGGTTAAAAAAACTGCACAGGTCTTTTCCCACACACGCTCCGGCCTACCTGCTTAGGTATACCTGTGCAGGTAGACCTCTCCGGTAGACCGTAGCGGGTATGGCCGGCATTACAATCCATTTTACGGTGATGAATTGATTCGAATTAAAATGTTTCCCCGAAGGGTTATATATTAGTGTGTTCAACTATGTTAAGAAGGTGGGGAATTGGTAAACATGCCAAATAACAAAAGATCACCAAAATATAGCACTGGTACACAGTTAAAAATATATAAAATAACAACTCCGGACACCTGTGATGTCAATCGTAATAACACGCTTTGAATGTTGTCCAAAAATAATTGAGTAAAACTGAATAACAAAAATTATTATTTTGGAATATGGCTGATAAAATTAATTTCCGAATAATCGATAAATGGGTTGTTAATTGTTATCTACTCCGCGTTTTCGTATATCGATGTAAAATAATATTGATCAACCAATCGTCATTATCAGTTTATAATATAATTCTGTATATCTAGGGCCGAACCTGCCAGGGTCGCAAAATATTGAAAAAAAGAGGGAGAGGGTAAAATTTGATAATAACAATTAAATTTAATTTCGCCAAAAGCACGTCTGATGCTTGGCCCGGCTCTGTGTATAGCCGATTTACTGGATAGTAAGGACTCACAAAAACAGTTTTATCTGTACATTTTATATATGTTATACAATTTTACAGTTGTCTTACCCTAGCAAATCACACAAATTGTGTTAAATGTCTGAGCCCCATGGCCTCCGAGGCTTTAGGGCCTCAACATAGCTACGTTAGCGGCCCTAATCAGGCCGGCTCTGCGGCAGGAACCAAAATCACAGAAAAAAAAAATGAAATTTTTATTCGAATTTTTACCTCGAAGAATATAGGTATACCGTACATGTATACTAGGACACTTTTTTGTGTGCTATTGCCTGCATCAAATATTATTATTGTGAATATATTTATAGGTAACCGTAAATCGGGCACTACTCATAGTAGTAGCTTGTATCAACCCTTGCATAGTAATAACTAAATCTTACTGTTTAATGAGTACTGAGCAATAAGCAGTATTGTAAAATATTTCTATAGTCAAATAACTTTTTAAATAACTAAATCATAAATAAAACAATTATTTAAAATTGTTTCAAAAATAATATAAAAGAAATTTAAAAAATGTGTACATCTACTTTAACCTTTTATGAATTAATACAACGCAATAAGCCAGTCTGATAGAGCCAGACTGGCAGTCTGTATGCCCACGCATAAGTAGAAAATATGTACACTCTGTCACGATAGTTGTTTTATAGTAAGTTTACATCATCACTATATCAGCGTAAACACGGCAGACATTTGACGGTTGATAGACTATAGAGTAATATTCGTAGCATGAAATGGGCTAGAAGTTAGAACATTAAGTAAATCGTAACATACTTATCTAGTTTTTGACTGTCGAGAATCGTTATTGTGGGAACATTTTGTGCAGTGGGGCTATAGCTATACATTTTATTTTCAATAACATGATAATGGTACTTCAGTTCTAAAGTTAGCAAAATTGAGTTGAAGCAATTATTAATGCGAATCTGCAAGTAGTAAGAACTCAGCACAGTTAAAACCAGTGTAGTTTAAACCAAGCACAGTAAAAACTAGCACAATATTGAACTCCCAAAATTGAATCAAGTATCCACAGAAACGATTTCGGATCGAAAGAGATGCTACCCGAGGAAATCGGTCCAGAAGAAAAACGTTATTGTATTTAGACACAAAAAAAAATACACCCTCGTGATACCAATATTTTAATAGCACCGTAGCTAAAACATCCTAGAAGTATAAAACGATAAAAACAATTCAAATAGAACATTTACGAAAATAAATCAAAATGTCCTCGCAGAAATGTACGTCATACGGTTAATATATTTTTAAAAACAACACAGTGGTCGAGTAGGTTTGGTTAGGCCTCTTGTTTGTAAGACGTAATAAAGTAGTTAAGTATAACCATTATTTCAAAACCCCGTTTTAATTAGTAAATGTGGTTAGAAAAACACAAATTCAGTTGAAACCTTTGATGTTTGGGAAAATAAAATATTTGTTTTCAAAATAAATTTATTACAGTGATATTTTTCCAATTTTTCAACATTTTCTAACTTTCTGATTGTTAATTTTAACTAAGATAATGAAACAATTTTTTCTGGTAGATTTGGTATCATGTAAACAAAAATAATTACATTTTTTTTACGTAGAACTATAGAACTATATTTTATATAAACTCAAAACTATTAGTACCGATTGTGATGGATTAAAGGAGAGCAGGATGAAGAGCAATCCCCATATACAGGGGCCGGAATCTGCGACTTAGTGTATTTGTAAAACGCTGGACGGTTCAATCCATTGTTTAACCACAGATTCACAAAAACAAAACAAAAATTAAAAAAGCTACTAGGCTACAGTACAGTTTTTTTATAAATTCTAAAATATCAATTTTATCTCTCTAGGTTCTATTTTAACAATTTACCGGACTGGCACAATAAGGTAATAGGAAGGTACATTTAAGTTGTGTATGGTAAATACTATATGTTATTATGAATCATAAAATCGAATTTTCTAGTAAAATAGAATTTGTTTAATGAACCGTCAGAGTATATGTTTGGAATTTAACTAACACTTTAAAATAATAGAATTTGTTAGAGTTTCCAAACATAAGCCAGATATTGACATCTTGTAACATAATACTACTCTTGAGTTACCATGTTAGTATTATACTCTTTTATAACCGTAAAATAATCAAAACAGGATTAATGTATTCTACGCCAGTCGCCAGACACCTACTAATGTCATCTATTATAGTGTACTAAAAAATACATAAGTAAATAATAATGCATCATTTTAAAATTTTAATTATTTATTTAATAAAACATGTTATGAATTTTGACTTATGTTTTGATAAACAAAAAACGAGATGGATGAAATAATATTAAATATTTTTCATCTATCTCGATGGTCCCACCACATTAATGGGCAATTTTACCGTCTATACATGAATCATGATTGATATTAAATAATGTAGGCGGCTCGTGAGTTCCGTAACCAAGGTTATAGCGGTTAATATAGTTGGTCTAATGATATTAACGAGCTCCTTGTGTTAGTATTCCCGATTCCGCCGTATACGGTAATCAGAATAGTACGCTGGTAGTTCGTAGTTCGTACGCTGCACCGGTTATTAATTATTATCCGGCCCAGGACAACCGGCTACTGGTACGCCGAGAAATAATATTTTCGACAATTCAGTGTATTCGATTACTCAAATATGATAATTAAAAAACACATCGACTCACCTTAGTCTTCCCATAAACGTTATTGGAGAATGAAATTGTCTGTACACCGCTGTTCATGTTTAAAATTTACTTAAATAAATAAGTTATAAAGAAACAGCTAAATGAACAAATTTTCTAACGCACAACGCGCGACGTGCGTATAACGATTATGTGTACACTGTAGCTTGTACACTACACTGCAGACATGGTGTGAACTGTGATCACGAGGATGCAGCCCTGCCGGTGCAAACTATGGAAACAGACGCCACGCACCCTGCAGCTGCATGTCACGCCACGTTTTAGGCCCCGCCCTTATTTCCTTTACGCGGTCGTAGTTATACCCCTCTACCCACTGCTTATTTTACCGGCTCCGACAGAAAATTTCAAAATAATATACAAAAGAATTAAGACATAACAATACTGAATACTGCAAATACACAGTGTATGCACATGCGAATAGCATACCACTTATTACGGTTTTACTTTATTAATTATAACTTCTTAAATTACCCATGTGACATATACACATAAATCATAAAATACATATTGTAAATTATAGCAGTTTATATGTTTAAACAATTTAGGACAAATGAGAAAAAATTGTCATTAATTATTATAAATACCAACTTGTTTTTTTAAGTTTTTGCCGTAATCTGGGCGTCAACATTTCATTAAGGCGTATGTAGACAGATCTACAGGTCCTATTTTACTTATTAGTTATTAGTTGACAAGTTTTAAAACCTCCGTTTTAAACAGACTTTCATTACAAAAAAAGGACACCTTTTGATTGTTTTTGTTTAACTAGGATAATTAAAAACACGAATTTCGCCAATCAATAAATGTATACACCTATCGACAATCGTTTAGGAAACAAAAAGGCCTTCGACACAGACAATTTTTGTTTGATATCAATTAACACCGAAATAATACATTCTAGCTTACATCCTACAATCTACGGCTCACCCAGTTATCTCAATTTTTTTATATGTAATTGCACCATCTTAGATCTTTGCCTCAAATTAGTGCTTGTACTTGAACTAGAAAATAAATAGAAGTATATCGTAAATAAAAAAAAAACATTCTTAAACCTATGAGGTTTCGTCCTTCACGCGTTTCAATTCTAACCTTCGTATAACAGTTTATACAACGTTTTTCGAAGTAAACATCTGAAGACTGAATCAAATTAAAAAATTTGTAATTGATAATTAAAAAAAAAAAAATTATAAAAATGTTGTCGGACATATTTATTCAAATGTTACTATAATACATTTTAGTCAGCATTCAGCAAGAAAAATAAATATTAAGAAAAAACACATAAATACGAAAATATTTGCTTTATCTATTCAGACGCAGCTGTATCAAATTATTACTAAATCTATGAAATTACCAACTTGGTATTTAATATTAGTTCTCAGAAAATACAATAAACTATGTTTAAGAAAAAAAACATGTTTAATTGGTTTGAAACTGTAGTTTTGGCCAACTATAAATGAGTTTTAGACTGCAGCTGTGTGATAGCAAATTTACTGAGTTCACCGAGTTTACTGTAAAAAAAGCGTACCAAGTTTTTTCTTTATATTTATGAATCGAATATCAAAAAATGGCAACAGGGAAATGGAAAGGAATAGGGTGGTGTTGTATGGGAGACCGGGACCAAAACTGTAATGCTCTGCCTACACACCGACGATAAACTAAACAAAAAATGATTCTAACATTGAATTATTAATACAAACATTAAATAATAAAACAATTAATTAAAATAGCAAATAAACATTAAAAATATAATCAACTTTTCTTAAAGGGAACGGAAAGCGTCGATTTTATTTTACAAATAAAAACTAAAACGTGCAGTCACTTTCCGAAATGTCTACCGAACCGATTTCAATACTTTTTGTTTTGTTTTATAGTTAAACATCTTCTCTATGGGGGCTAAAAGGCCGATTTTTTTTTTCAAAAAATATTTATAAGTATTTTTATTTTTTATAGTTTTTTCTAATACATCTAACTACATTTTCAGTCGCTAAATAAAAAATTGGCCATTTAGACCCCATAGAAAAAATATTAAGCTTCGTATAAAAATAAAAAAACTTGAAATCCGTTCAATACATACGCCAGAAAATGACTTCTACGAAAGTAATTTTTTTATCAAACTTTCGTCATAACTCGGAGAAAAATAACTTTAAAAGTATTATAATCAGAAAATTGTAATATGTGTTTACCTTGAAATTAGTAGGCATATGAAAAATAGCTGTTAGATAAATTTTTGTCAAATATTGCCTATCCTTTGCCCCTTAATAAATAGCGCTTTCCGTTCCGTTTGCGCTAAAAAAAGTAAAAGTAGGTAATAGTAGACTCCCCCCAAATCAACTACTGTTTTACAGTCGCGCTGATCTCTTTGCTAGGAGATGTCTGAATTTTTTTTGGAAACGCTATTCACCGAGGAGTAAAGAATACGCATTTTTTGCAAAATATTAATTTAGAATTATAATTATAGTATATACTAATTTGATACAATAATGAGGACTCTTTGGGTATTATTTTACTATTACTCATTTCTATAGAAAAAATTACATTTTTTTTCCATCGGCATAGTCTTGCGCGCATCAAAACCAAAGTGTAATGAAATTGTTATAAAAATACCAAATGTTCACGGTATATAAAGAAGAACTTCATCTGTGCTTAAGCGTTAATACATTTTCGGTAACTCAATCCACTAATTTATTGAAAAATAATATGAAAACTTGAACTTTTATGACAAAAATAAGCCTAACATATCATATTTTTACTCTATTTCAACTAAAACCTTTCAGTGGAATAGACACTACAGTGACACTATTAGTCAGGGAGGAGAAGGATAACAATTTTGCTAAAACATCTTTGACAAAGCCCCAATTAACTTTTAAGAGATATTTTTTTTCGCGAGTACAATTAATTTTCCATAATAAACTATTTGTATATAACTTAATTAATACCCTTATTTTTATTAATTAAAATATTTAACGTAATGGTGATTGAAAGCGGTCTGTTTTTTGACGTTTCAGATCAATACGACTGACAAAATTGAGATTTTCAACTACTTAGGATGGTCCGATCTAATTCTTTAAAAAGATAAGAGTTATTTCACTGTTATTTCTGTGGTTTTTAAATATTGAAAATATTACTTGTATACGACACTATGGCACATAGTTTTAGATGTACCTAATATTATTTACAGAGCTGATAAAGACCCAGCTAAACATTAGGGAACTCCCTAATTTGCATAAGTAAAGGGGAACACTTATAATCCGTAGAGAGTTCTTACTTTTAGTTGATTTTTTTTAAGTTTTACAAACTATTAAGTTAAGTATTTATAATTTAATTTGTCTCACAACTAATAGTAAAAGTAAAACTACGCAGCTTCGATTTGTTAATTAATTGGCGAGTCACCAATGGTGACATATTAGCTATAGAGTTATAGCTATATATATACCGATAAATATAAGTAGAATGTTTTAGGAAACACTTGCATTTCTCAAATGATGGTTGTAGGCATCATTGCTGAAATCTGTATGCCATAATTGGACGGTTTCTTGTGTGATCCCGATAAATCATCACGTGTTATTGATACATTTATGGAACGAATACCGATTCAATTTAATGATACAAGTACAACTAACAACGGAAACTGTTCTTTATCCTACAATTAAAGGTAAAATTGGTTGATTTATTATTCTTGTTGAAAATGGACGATTTTTAAAAGAAAACAAAATTGAAGATGTTTTTAATTCATTTATCAGGTATTATTTTAAAACCTTAATTCTTTGGTTGGAATTACAAGTAATATTACAAAATGTAATGCTACCTGAAATTATCATTATACAAGGATTTAGTACTACTAATAAAAAATGTTTATTATGTAAAATTGTTTAGTTGCATTTTCCTCTTCACAGCAACACCACTACATAATTCATTGTAATTATGGCCGTTTTTATCTTTAAACAAATTTTGAAATACCCATTACCTAGTGTATAATTTCCAAATTCTAATACTTCATCTTTACTATATTTAATGTACAATATTCATTCGTGATAATTATTAATTAAAAATAAAATATGTTCACCTGTGGGTGGGGGCCAGAATACACCCACGGCAGTCCACGCCCGTCGTAAAAGGCGACCAAAATGGACCTAGCAATGGGCAGCAACATTGTTAGTATCAAGTACAGATTTATCTATACTTGAATAACATCCCATAGTAATAAGAGATGCCATTGCGATGCAGAAGGCAACGGGAAACCACTGCATTAATTTTCCCAAACATCAAGCAATGAAGGTTAAGCATAAGAATGAGGAGAACCAGATTTGCAACGACAAGGCAAGGCCTTTAGTAGAGAAGAAGAAGAAGAAAATATGTGTTAATAATATACGTATTGAAATATAAATGAATATTGTAGGTAAGTATTCCTTCATTTTTATTTTTAAAAGAGGCTAGTTTTGTTTAAAAAACAATTAGATGTCGTATCATTGTTTATTAAGTTACAATAATTCCTCATAATGTTTTATCTGATATTATTATTATTATAATAAATAATTAAAAAAACACAATTAATTTATAAGCAAAACATATCTTGTTCAAAACATTATTACTCTTACCATAATAAAGTAGGTGTACTAGATAATACTTTAGGAAATATGTTTTCAGCATTACATATTATGTCTATGAATAACAAACAATTGTTTATAAATTGTTATAAATACATATTTTTAATCATTACGTAAATGTTGAAAAAAAAAATAATATATAATTAATTCATAAAGCATTACTAGAGTTATGACCTAAATTTAATATTTTCGGTATAGCATTAAAAAAAAAGTATAAGACTAACAAGTACATATTATAATATTCACTCAAAATACAAATTAGGAGTTCCTGTTAAAAAGCACACAAGTCAAAAATCTCTTTTTTTGTTTTATCACAGACCTATAAATAAAACAGGAATGCCAATAGCCTAAAATTAAGAGCCACAGCTGTCATTAAATGGCTCTTAGAGTAACTAATCTAAACAACGTACTGACATAAACGCTTTTCCACAGCATTCCAAGTGCTTTTCTATAAACGCATCTAAACTACCCAATTTGTATTGCAAATTGTAAAAATTGTAAATAGTAACAATAAAATAAATGCAGTTAACAAAAACTAAAAATATGAAATTTTGATCTGTTAAAAAGCATTTAACTTTTCAGCGATACATTTTTTTATTTTAACAAATTTCCAATTACCAAATGTATTTTCTATTAAATATTTTAGATAGACGAAAAGAATAATAGTACTATACAAGCATAATTTATTGACTAATTTCTTAGTCTAAAAGAGAATTAATTTTAATTTTAATGCAAATACCATCACTAACACCTTATGTGTTTAAAACAGAAAATCACACTTGAATCAAAATATTTACAAAAAAACAAAAATTGATAAATTGTATAAACATAATTGTCTATTTATATTTTTTTTTCATCAATTCCTGATATTCTTCGCAAGATCTCATTTGATACTTTGACGCTTGATTAAACAATGACGCGTCATCATTAAAACGTGCTCTCCACATTAGTGATTCATCTGCAAATTATGAATCAATAAGGTAACATAAATAATGTTATGTTAATAAATATTTTTTTAATAACACAAATCTAAAAAGTATTGTATTTATAGGTACTAACAATATTCTTTTTCCCGAATGCATTTAGACCGTACAGCATTGATATAATCTTCTTCAATAGTGTTTTCTAAACGTCTCAAATCCCCTGTATAATCGGTGTGAAAATTATCTTTCACATAATATGTAATGTCTCTGTATGATGTGTGCCGAAGAACTGAGTATTTTCTAAATTATTAGAAAAATATTGTTTTTTTATAGATATCCAACTCAAAAATATATTTTTAAAAATTAAAATACTTACGAGGAAGGTTTTAAGCTGTACACGGGATCATAAGAAAAATTTGAAAATAACGACAGCAAGAGTAGTAAAAGTATTGGTAGTAATTGAAAGTATATACTAGATGATTCCTAAAAATACATAATAAATAAAATCATAACATATTAAAAATATTTAATATTAGATATTTGTAATTACTCAAACTTTTAGAAGTTCATTGTGAAATATGCTATTACTAGAGATTATAAAATGTTACAATGAAAAATTAAAATGAATTACTTGTTGTTGGTTATGATTATCATTGTCAGATTCAGGTGGCCAACGTCTAGAATACGAACGTGTGTAATATGGATTGGACATTGGTCCTTGGCGTGTTGGAAAAGCTCCGTTAAAGAACATATTAAAAAGCTGTTCTGCAGTTATATCAGCTAAAACATAGTAAAATTCAATTAAAATTTTAAGCAAATATATATATGATCTAGCCAATGTGCTGAAGCAAGACAGACAATAAAAATGTATACTTAAATTATTGTTTATTGTTTATTATGATGCTGTGTCACTATCAATGGCATAATATTTTAACTTACATTCAAATCCATGGTCAAAAGTCCTATGCATGTGATCTGAAGTACCATGCTGCTCATGACCTACCATATCATAGCGTTTACGTTTTTCAGGATCAGTCAAAGTAGCAACTGCATTACCCACCGCTAAAATAACAAATAAATTCAAAATAATTAGGCAAAGGGGATTGAGTCAATATAAAATTCTTATTTTCTTAAGACAACTCATTTATTACTCCAATTTAGTCAAATATTTAAAAACAAAATGCTTTCAAAACACCTTTAGGTTAAAGGTGCATTCAACATTAGTAAAACCAAATCATTTCTTACATTATTTAATTGTGTTTAAAATGATAAAATTATAAATTAACAGTTACAGGATTACTATTTTAATTTTTAAAAATGGAGCCAAACATTTGTGGCAAACTAATTTTTTCCTTAACTTAGCCATTTATAAAAATAAGATATTACACAGGCCTACAAAAAAAACATTTTTTTTTTTGGTGCGTACGATTTTTCTGCTGGATTTGAAAGTATTTTGAGTTCTGATTTCAAAAATGTAATCAGATTTTTCCTATCAGATCTAACTTAATTTTTCGGTCGCCGCTCTCAATAAGGCACCACAGCGGACGTAACCTGCCGCGAGTAAACATACGTGTCGCTGGGAGCTAAATCGGCGATTTTAAAACGTCTATAACTTCCAAACTAAGTATGATAGGCCCAAAATATTTGCAGATTCGTAATCTACACGAAAAGCATTATCTATTCGAGGAACAAAATGTTTAAGAAAAAAGGTGTCTTGTAGAGTACATTTATATCGGTTAGGTCATATTTAGGCACTTTTTGAGATTTAGCGTACCTATATCACAAAAAGTAGAGCTGATAGGAAAAACCTGTAACATATTTGAAATCAGCACTTAAAATACTATAAAAATCAGCAGGAAAATCATACTCACCAAAATGTGTGTTGGGCAGTGTTATCTATGGTAAAAAACCGATAAAATTACTTGATTGTCTTTTAAAAATTATAAAATATCAGAACATTTATAATATTTATTACATTCATATTATTAATTTTACATAAAAAAACCTATTAAATATAAAACTTAGTATACTTAACAAGTAAAAATAACTGACAACTTTGAGTGGTTATAACTTATGAATTTTGATAATGATAGAAATATTTTGTTTACTTTTAAATGCTTCGGCTGCTCCAGGTGCATTGTTTTTGTCTGGATGTAATAATAGTGCCAATTTTTTATAAGCTTTTTTTATGTCAGTATCAGTAGCATCCTTTGGAATTTTTAGCACATCATAAAAATCCTTGCATTGCTTTATTCTGAAACACAAAATAAATAAATTAAGATTAATATTAAAAAAAACTTAATTAAATTAAATTATTATATGTTTTTGTAATACCTTTTAACTATGTCCTGCTGTGCTTTGGTGTAAGATGGTTGATTCTTTTCCCCTTTGGGACTACCTGTAAGAAATTAAATAAGTTGTTAAGTGGTACTTGGGTTGCTAGTGTAGATTATGATGGTTTGTTATCCTATTATTGCTCAACATTTATCTTAAGATGCGGGTGGAACTGAACTTGAACTGATAACATACTGTCCAGTTCCACAATAAAACAAATCCGAACTCCCGGTAATGTAAAAGCAGCGAATAACTTAACATGATTCATAACAATAATGTGTTATCTCATAACACAGTGAGAACATTTTTGAGCATCTAAAATTTTGACAGTGTTTCGAAAATGGATTTGAATGAACTCGTTTATTTGAATAAGTTAAATATTGGAGAACAAATTTAGAAAAAAAATGTCGTTTTTAAAACTGATAAATTTATAAACTCAATCACAATTTTACTGAATAAAAAAAAAGGACTTCGTTCAATATTTCTTTTTACTAACATTGTTTTTAAGCAATTTATTATTTATGATAACAAAAAATAATAACATCATGTCTTGACCATAGACAGTAGCCCAATGGCTAGCTACAACCAATTAAATAAGATATATGCACATTGCGTAATTAAGTAGTTGACTAAATTAAATATTTTGACTGAAAAATGTATAAATTATTCAAAGAGATTATATTCATACATTAAAATCCTTTTCTTACACTTAATTAGGTCTTATTAGTAAGCAATAAAAAAAAAAAACAATAAATAAACCAATTTTTCTCTTCATATAATAAATACATTTAAAATTTTTTTTAAATTTGAAATGAGATATTTTTTAAACAAATGAGTCGGGTATAGTGGGGATGAACCATATTGAGGCGGGGAAGTCATGAGTCCACATGAATTATTACAACTGAAAGTGATAAAATCATTTTCAAACAAACACTTTGATACAAATCTGTAATGGTAGAAATACAATTATTGACAAAAGCATTGCACGTAATGACAATAATGTGCTTTAAATGTACGTTAGGTATAAGGGTAGATACGATAAGGGTTAATTGTCTGTCTACAATAATTTCTTGCCATAGTTAGTTATATATCGTAATTAACAACTAATGAAAATATTCAACGTATTTTAAATCTAAATAGTGGTTTTTTATACAAACATGTATTTTTTTAGGGCTTTGATAGGTCATCACTTATCAGCCATGTTTTTTTATTGGTTAGTTTTTTATTGGTTTGGTTTGTGTTGGATTTGGTTGATAGTTGTAGAACACGCATGGGATGGAATAATGACATGGGCTGCCGCTAAAAGTCATAGGTGGTCACCCATTCGGGACCAAGTGGCAACGGACACAGCTTAACCTCATGTGCCGAATGGCAACTGAGGTGACTACTGCGCCACACCATGCCCCTAAAAACATGTATTTATCATGCACCATTATAATAAACAAGCCGCTGGCACGGCAACCGAGACGTGTGACGATAAAGGGAGGCGGTCGCTAGCCAGTTATACAACAGCCTTAGGCCAATTTATTTTTTTTATTTTTAAGGATGAGTCGGAAGGTTATGTTTAGTTTCGTTAGAAAAAATAGGTCAGTGAATGCTTGCAGAATAGTATGTGTCCACAGATTTCTGACTTTTGTAATCAGCGTAAAAAACATTACAAAAAAATGGCTGTCCTGTAAAGTGCATTTGTCCAAAAAAAAAAGATATTACAAATTATCTTTAAAAAAAATAGGACCAAATAATAAAACTAAGACCTATCATTATTTTCAAAGTATACCTGGTGGAGTATTTTTTGGCCTTTTAGACTTTGCTTCATCTGCTTTATTTGTATTGGCCGATGAATAATTTTTTGATTTTTGAACTTTCAGTTTCCTCAATAGTTCTATATTAAAAAAAAAAAAAAGATTGCAATATATCTGTAATGTAAGTACAACACATTAATTAAACAATAACCAAAAATAACACTCACCTTCAGCTTCAAGCGTTGGAAATAATTTTTTACTCTTGTTTATAAATTTTTCCGCTTTTTCAACATTGCCTTCACTAAGGTAATAATCAGCACGGTCGAGACAACGGTATGCTTCATCCTTATTTACCTCCATAGTTGTTTTATTTAGACAAACTTATAATGTTTATTAATGACTTAATAGATTAAGTCATAAAGTAATAGTTAAATGAGTGCACTCGCCAAACTGAGTAGCAATATTATTAAAACGGAATAACTGATGTCAAAACTTATATTCAATAATAATGGCTTGAAAGTTTAAAACTATGCCATTGTTTTAGAAATGCAATGAGTATAATACAAGAATTTAAAATCAATATAGTTTTTATAAATTATAGAAATTGATTTTTGATCAAATATGATAACAGAAAAGATTACATTATCATATTAACAGATGTTTATAATTTATGAATCACAGGTTACGCCCACAGATATATCTGTGGTTAGTGGCTACGCCACGGAATGGAATATTAATGTGATGGTTAAATTACTTCCTACCATAGAACTAAATGTTTATGCTTAAAATATTTATTACAGATAAATATAAAATAGAAGTGTTCTACAAACAAATTATTTTTAAAAACAAAATTGGACGTGTATGGCAAAAATTCCACCAGAATTTTATGATTTTTACCTGATGTGTACCTTCAAAATCGACAATATTTGAGATGCTACATTAATGTTCTGATAGGGTGATATTACGATAGTAAAATATTTGAACACTACTGTGTAAATACTTATATTGAAGTATATTTATATAAGCTTACACAACCTTGACTTTAATATATTAAATTTTACAATAACCACAGTTTCTTAAAGACTCATTTTATAAAAAACTAATAAACAACATTTTTTTATATTTATTTATACATCAAGACTTAAGTTAATAGAACACGTTTCTATATATAATAAGAAAACAATATAAATATTGTAATGTGTTATTAAAACAAAAAAGTAATCTAACTAAAGGTAAATGACAACAAAATACTTTTTAATATACACCTTCAATAATCAAATGCACCATAATAATCATAATCAAATGTATAATCATCTATGTAATCTTCATAGCTATTGTAGTAGTCATAATTGTCATCATAACTATAGTCATTGAAATGATATTCTGCATGCTGAGGATTTTCAGAGTAATAGTTATGAGTACTGTATGTTTGAGATCGACGAGAACGACGAGATGATTTGCTTTCTAAAAGTTTTATTTATTTTATACAAAATTGTAGAAAACAAAATACTGAAATCTTATGTATGAAACTTACTTCTCGGGTTTCGTTTTCTTTGGGTACCTTTGTTAGTAGTTGAGTTTGATGACTGTTCTATATTTGAATCATAAATGTTACGTTGTGCACTATTACACAAGGTTTTAACTGCATTCCCAACATCTAAAATAATTATTTAAGAAATGTTTGTAATATTACTTAAAAATAAGTTAGTTTAAACAGTTTAGGACAAATTATCACTTCAAGTATATTATTTACACATTTATAATGTGGATAATAAATTTAAATACATGTATTGATAATAAATACTATAAAATAACTGAAAATAGTAAAAAATAAAAATACACAACTATTTTTTATTAATTTTCCTCTAATGCTCAACTTGGTTTATTATGTAATATACTATTAAATAATACTTATATATTTTTAAATAAATAAAATAGATAAATTAAATTATTAGGAATTTGGAAAAAAGTATATATCTTGAAAACTTACTATAACATCTGGCAAATAGCAATTTGTTTAATAACTATAGGGCATCACCTAACTTAAATGTATTTAAAAAAATTTTAAGTGTCTGCTACAGCCTACAATAGACACAAATTATAAATGATATAAATGATTTACTACTTTCTAGTATAGTATTTTTAATTTATTATATTTTTTAGCTTTGTCGCAGAGCATCGCTGCTCTGCGACTATTGGTTTTACAATGTTTAATTTTAATAGTTTTGATTTATATTCTTAATTTTAAGAATAGGTAAAAAGAATATTTATAAAAAACATAAAATGTATTGCCAAAATTAAAGATCAATAACTCGGTGCACAATTTTCTAAAGTGCAATCTTTAAAACGTATAAGAACAGTTTTTAATTAATAATACCATATTAGTTCTTAAACCATAAAAATAAACATTTTATGCGTATACGTATTACAGCAATAATGTTGTCATCTTCAGTGCTAACAATGGCGATAATCTCGCTAAATGAGATTTAAAATGAAAATTAAAATGAATTACCAACAAACACTTCTTTGGCACCAGGAGCAGCATTTTTATCAGGGTGTACCAATAATGCTAATTTCTTGTAGGCCTTTTTGATTTCATTTTCTGTTGCAGTTTTTTCAATGCTTAACATGGTGTAATAGGTTTTACTATTCTTTAGTCTAAAGAAAAAAAAACATAGATAATTACACAAAATATTTAAATGTTTTTATTTTATAGAAAAATAGAACAGATAAGACTGCAAAGTACGTGAAGACAGAGGTATAAAGGTAGTGTCACAAAGTAAAAGTATGTGCATAATTTAAGTGGTGTATCCATAAAAATGTACACTGTGTCGTGTTGAATACACCACTGATTATAAGTCATAGTGTGTAGAGCCTGGAGTAGATAGAAAAATGCTGACAAAAAGAATAAAGAGATGAAAGAAAAATGTGGTCGCTGACCCTACTGCTGTTAAAATTGTTAAGAAATAAATCAAATACAAATTCCAACTTTAAACTTTTAAATTGCATGCATACATTAGTGTTCTAAGGCATATGCGCATTCATCAAATCAGACCTGTATACTTATCAATAGATTTTGTTTTAAGTTGAACTTTGATAAAAAGGGTCTACCTTAGATGTTATTGCATAATAAAAAATTATGTAAGGTGTTTTTCACTGTGCAGTGCCCACCGTGCACTGCATAAGGAAAAACTACATAAAATATATAGTTTATGCATAAAATTCAAAAGTTACTAATAAATTAAAAAAAAGTCATGTTACTTTTTTACAATCTCTGCTTGCTCTTGTGTATATTTTGGTTTATTTAGTTCTTCTTTAAGTAATTTAAGTTTATCAACTAGTTCTGAAATCAAATTAATTTCACAAAACAATTATATATACATAGTTGATAATTAGTATTGCTAAAAATTACCTTCAGCTTTCGGAAGAGGAAAAAGCTTTTTTGACTTAAGCAAAAATTTTTCTGCCTTATCAAATTGACTAAGTTTTAGATAAGTTTCTGCTTTTTCAATACATCTGTAAGACTCATCCTTGTTCATTTCTTTAAACATTTTAGATGTACCTGAAAATAAAATGTCCATCATGGCTGTTATACATAAATGTTATAAAATAAATTAAATATACCTACTTTTTGGGTTGCCATGGTTATATTTTTTGTTTACAGGTTCTGATGTACTATTATTATTACTTGTATTTGAAGATGTGCCTTTTCCAGAATTTGAATTAGTGTTATCTATAATATTTATGTGTAAATGTGTATATCAATGAATAAAAACAAAAACACAGCACATTAAATAAAATATATTTTATAATGTTAAAATTAAAGGTTACGATTATAAAGGTACCGGGTGAATTGAGAAACTGGGGTTTAACTCAGGTTTTTGATTTATTTACACCAGTTTAGCAAATTCAGTTACCTACCCGTATATTTTGATTACCCCTTTAAACTCTAACCCCAAGTTAAAATATAATTGTGTATTTTTATACTTGAATCTGATTCTTTTCGTTTTGAAGATTTTTGTTTCAGTTTTTCTGCAAGAGAATTTAAATCCACCATCAAACCTTTAACATACAAATATACAATTGTATTTATTTAATAAATAGACAAAAAATCTTGATAAACTGTATTTACATCAATAATATTTTTTTGCCATTTCTTTATAACTAATTATACTTAGGAACAAGTATTTTTACTACTATTATCTGTATTTTTATAAGTTGGCGGACCAAGTTTTTTAAAAGTTATTAAACGCACTAAATAATTATTACATAATAGTTAATAAATTGAAAATTACTACATGGTGGTCACCTATTTGCGTACAAGCTATAATTAATGTAGCTTATAAAAAGTAGTGTAAGGACTAAGGTGCCGAATCTGTTACTAGAGGTCTCTGGTTTAATTTCTACAGTACTATGAAACAAACGTCCGCTCCAGCTACACACAAGCTCTGCTCTTTTGAGAGGGATGTCTGAGCATGATAGATTATAAGTAGTATTTCAGAAAAAATCTATACGTATGTATTCATAGTATGTAAAGTTAAAAAAAAACTAGATGATATTACTGAATAACTTACTTTTATTTTCTGACATTGGAAAAAGCTTAATAGACTTTAAAGCAAATTTCCAAGCTTGATAGTATTCTTTATTAGTTTTGTATTTTTTTGATATTTCAATGCAGCGAATGGCTTCGTCTTTATTACTCTCCATAGTATCTATTCTATCTAGTAACTATTGATTAAAAGTTTAACACATAGCATAAATAATATTAAATTTTAACTTATGTACACAATTAGCAATAGAAATTATTAAAATTACGTACGACATTTAGACACGATAAAGTTTTACTCTAATTTACAAGTTTAAATAACATTTAACAATACTGATAGACGATAGTAGATAGCAAGGTGGATTTATCAGGTGTTAACACTCGCTACCCATTACCGTACCAAGGTGGATTTATAAATCCACCTTGGTAGATAGTATTCTGAAGTATCACAGATAAATCTGTTTTATCTAATCTCTGTTATCACAGATGAAATTATTAAATCATTGAATAATGATATTAAATGCATAGACCTTATACTACCTACAAAAAAAAAACTATAAGCTACAATCGCCAATCACGAATATTTACGAGTTTTTACCAAATAGGTACTAGGTATATCCATGACAAATTAGATTTACTTTTTCTTGGGTATATCTATAGTATTTATTTTTACTTTTTCCCATTGATATGTTTGTTACACATAATTAAACTGGATGTGATTTTCTCAACCGTCTATGTAATCTAAAATTACATTCAAATTGGATAGTTATGAATTTATTACACTTAAATTCATTTTTTTAATCACCCAACCATTCGAACTTATTTTTACATAAATATTTATATTATTATTATTTATTACTGTTATTATTATACTTTTCAGTTATCAAAGCATGTAACAGGGTGGCCATTTTAAGAAATTTTCGGAAAGCTGTTTCTCCATAGACATTGTAATCTCCATGTAATATTATTACCGTACTATTGTCAGCAGTCAGTTGTTTCAGTAGATTGACTATTGATAATACTAATAAAAAGACGTACTCCATAATTTATTATTTTTCTCGATTCCATCAATTTATTTAGTTAGAGTATTTATTATCTACCATCTATTATAATTTTAAACTAAACTAAAATTTTAATTTGTACATTTAATTATCTAGAATTCCTAGGCGTTATTTAAAAAAACAAACGCATTTATAGGAATTTTTTTATGATTTATACATTTATATAGTTATTTTGTAGAAATATATAGTATTTACTTAATTAATATGGAATCAGATAAGTCTGCGTTTCAACCTATAGATTTAGTTGGCAAAGTTATAATAAAAGTAAGTGCATTTTCTATTCTAATAACTGTAGTGGTAGTTATTGATTACGAAGTGTCAAAGTACAAAGTTATTATAATAGCCATCAAAAATAATAATGGACACTGCCTCACTTAGTTATGAAAATAATAGTAATAGTAAAAACTAAAATGTTATAGTTGACTTGGCTGTTAAGTATTGCATTTTATACATGATTTATTTTTTACAAGTCAAAAATTGTTTATACAATACATTAAACATGTTGGTCGTATCATTTTTACAATTATTATAATTATGTTAATAATTAATAACTTTTGTGGTGTTAGGTTCAGTTAGGTGATGATATAAGAAAAGTATTGATTCATAATGAATCAATTACCTACGATGAATTACTGTTGATGATGCAGCGCATATTTAACGGTAAACTAACAGCTAATGATGATCTTACTATCAAGTATAAAGATGAAGGTAAAATTAAATTTCATAATTTGTAGACTATGAATATAAATGTTTTGTATTGAATGCCTACTTTAGCTTGTAAGTTTATATGATATAAGGTTTACAATATCTTCATTTTAAATACTTAAAAGGAAAGGACATTTGATAAAATATAAATATTTTACTCATGTTGAGTGCTAATAAAGTAAAATCTATCTTTAATATTATAGTATTTAGACTAGCATATACCAGTATTGTAGTATTTATTTAATAAAATAATATAAGTAATGTATTATAATAAATTAATATTATTAATATTTTTAATAGTTAATATTGTTATTTAATAATTAATGCATGTAAACTTTCCTTTTGTTTAAGTTTATTGTTAAATAGTTTTTTAAACGTTGACATTGAAATGTTGGTCATGTTTAAAGATAATTTTACTAATACCACTTAATTATTACATTTTCTGTATGAATTAGGTACTCATTAGTCATGATTGTATTTTTTGTTTTTTGTTTTTATTGTTATTTTATTATTGTGTTGTCTAACATGAGCGTTTCAAATTATTCAAAATAAAGATAAGCTTTTGTAATGATCTTATAAAAGTATTAATTAAAGCCAATCCCGTAAAGTTTAAACGCTATTATTTTTGATCATATTAATTGTAGTTTAAGAAAATATTTTGAAACAAACTTATCTATTATTAAAACAATGTGTTTAACTTTATTTGTTTGTATAGATGGAGATTTAATTACTGTGTTTGATAGCCAAGACTTATCATTTGCTCTTCAGACTAGCAGGGTATTAAAATTACAAGTATTTATGAATAATTTGTGTTTAAAAGAACGACCAACTCCAATATTTAACAATGAAGATTTTAAGAAACAATTACGTCATATCAGGAATGCAGTGACATTGTTATTAGATACTATTGATGATAATCCTGAAGTTAGAAATAATAATACCGAAACTCCAAATCAGATAGGTATGTACAAGTACTTTTAAATTGTAATTAGCGGTTGTATTAAAATGTTTTAGACACAAGCCTTACCTAACCATTTGCAATATCATGATGTTATCAAAACTTAATGTGATCCCTGGCAGTTTAGGATGCATGTTTATAGGAATAAATTGCGAGTGTAAAGTTCAGGCTATCGTTTTCATAATAAACACTACTAAAATAAACAAACCGTATATTGTATATGGGGTTTTAAGATATTTATGTTTAACATAAATATGAACATTAACTAGTGCAAATTATAAAATGTATGGTCGTTAATAATTTATTAATTCATCATACCTATTATATGAGCATAGAAAACTTGGCATGAGTGAATAATTTAATTAATAGTCAGTCATTAATAATATTATACACAATAGTATATAATTTGAGTTATCACTCTTAATACAAAATTGTATCTTCTTTTGTAACCTCCTCAATAATTTAAACTATGCGTTTATCTGTACCTATTTATGGTTTTATTGGTGTGCTTTCTTCTAACAACAACAGATTGTAGTAAACATCTCAACCATCATGATTTATTTTTAATGTGTTAAATGACTAAATTGTTGGTCGTTTGCTCTTATTGTTATATTAAAACTGTGATTAGCAACTTAACTATATAAAACAATTACATATTACCATTTCATCTAAAATATTATTACAACACGATTCAATTATCAATATAATAACTAAAACCTATTAAAAAAACCATCTGATGACTAAGTACTTATTTAAAATTGGAACTGACCTAGGTTCAGAATTTAGTTGGCTTTATCGTTTTCTTTGTTACCTATATGGGTACTATAAGAATGCATAATTACAAATAAATAATTTTAAAAAACTAAGCACTGTGGAGTTTGGAGCATAGTGATGTCAGTGTAGTCACAGGAATTATTATAAATGAAGATGATGAAATCACAAAAGGGCATACATAAAACCGCCAACACCCAAATGTCTAGTTCTGCTATTATATAATAAGTTGAAAACAATTTATTTAAATTTAATTTAATCACTTTTTAAAAATTGTTTTTGATTTTAGGGCAAGAGGAGCCAAAGGTTTTGCCTCAACAGCCACCATCTAATAATGGTGTTGCTAAGGAGTTTGATCCTCTCCGTAGCTCACAGGATGAAAAACCAAAATCCCCTCAACCAGTACTGCAAGTTAAATGTAATTTTCCACATAATTATTTTAATAACATAATGTAGGTAACGTAGGTGCAAGTAAAAATATGTATAGGGTTTTAAGAAATTTATGTTAAACCTAATTTATTAATAATGTACTAACATTTTGAAAAAATTACTTTTTTTTTTGTGGCGGAGTGAGATAAGGCGGCAGTGTATCAACACATGAATGTTGGTTTGAATCTCAACCACTAGCGGTTTGTTCATCCAGCCGGGCAACTGTCTGGGGGAAAAAATGGCCTCCTGCACTTCTCTCTGGGGTCAACTTATTTGGTAGCGTTAGGTCGGCAGCCAGCTATAAGCCTAAAAAAGCCAAATCTAAACCGTCTAAGCCCTCATTGGTGGGAATAATGGACATTAAACATAAAAGAAAGAGTAAATTTATTGTTCTTAAGTAATGACTCAAAACTGGTTATCGGCCAGTCAAAATTTCAACAAATATTCTTAATTTAAATAACTTATTAAATCCCTCCTCCCCTAAATGTGGCTTCTGAAAAAACATTTTTTTCAAATATTATGGATTGATAAAAATCAATAATGTTTTAAAAGTATAATGTTAAAAAATCAGATTTAACATGAAATTCTGATAGCCTGTTTACAAGATGAGTGGTTAATATAAGAAACTCATTTTTCTAAAGATAATTTTATAGTATTTCTCTTAAAAAATATTTAGTAGGTTAAGCCTCAAGGATATTTCTTCAAAACCTCTCTCTATACCAAGATGTTTTTGTAATGTTATACTCATTTTATATTACTAATGAGGTAGGTTTATATTACTTATCAGGTTTTAGGCGGATACTGGTATCCGCCATGGCTTGGGAGGATTAAACTACAACGGACACCCACGGCTGCTGTGGCCCCCGAACCTATTAACTTACTTTTAAATATTTTAACATTTACCTCATTTTATTTTTTGATTGTTGTATCAACACTTTGAAACATAAGTGGAAATTTACATAATTAAATTATAAAATCAAGATTATTCTACTTAACACTAAACTTGGTTAATTTCCAATTCTGAAATTTTATTTTACACATTCATAACAATATTCAAAAAAAAAAAAAAAAGGGGTTACTACACTATTTTTATTTTGTTATTATTGTCTCTTTCACATGGTTTATTTTATAGATGTTTATGATTTGGGTATTGTGTATACCTTTGTGGGTAGCAGGCATCTAAACATCCATAATGGTATTTTTGACGGGAATTGAAATAATAACACAAGAATCTCTGTGTAAAATAGTGTAAAAGGCACATATAGTTCTCATTACTAAAATTTAGAATTTTTGTGCAGAAGCAATTTTCCAGATTTAAGTTGCACATTTTATGTATGCTCCAAACCAAAATTATGTGTTGATCAGTTGATATAAATCTAACAATAAAAAATCTCAGTGAATTGATAAGAAAATGTTGTATAAGAAAATGTTCAGTTAAGCTTGTTTTCATGACTAATTTTCAGCTGAACCCTCTCATGAGAATATGTCAACCCCACAGCCTCAATGTCATACACCACCTGTTCAGCAATGCCAGATTCAAAATACTTATAATGGACAATCTCAAGGTGCCATTAATCAACATAATCCATACTCAGGTGGACAAGTACCTCAACAAGGTATATTCCTTTAATCATAATATTTTATTGTTAGTATTAATATAACATTTTATGCAGTAAAATATTAATTTGTTTTATTCATCAAAACATTTTAATTTAAAATGTTATGTTACATCTTTTTATTTATTTTAAGAATCTATAATTAATAATTATAATTTTGCTTATATGCATGTTTCTTAAAAAAATTGTCTTATAAATTAGTTGTAATTAATTGTTCTATACCAATCTATTTGAAGAACTTATTAACAACAATCTTGAAAAGACATCATACAGCCTTCTTTGAGTTTAAAAATCACCAATTTAAATGATAATTTAATTATAAATACTTATAATTTAGTATTTAACCAAAACCTAGTGTATTACTTTTATTGATTTCCCGAAAACAAATAAGTATTAAATTAGAATTATTTACTTACAGGATCACAAGATAAATGGACACCTTACCCACCAACTGCAATGCGTGTGTCTTACCCAAATCAAAATTTTTATGGATATCCCCAACAGTTACCTGGGTATAGTCAGATACCACCACCAATAAAACCCCAAACAGGTAATCCACCTGTACATTCAGTGTATTATCCAATTAGTACAACATCTAATACACAATATACTACCAATCAATATCCTGGACAGTAAAAAAAACCAAATACATTTATAAACTAATGTACTTACCAATTTAATGTTCAAATAATTAGAGCAAGTGTTTTTATATAACAAGGTTATATTAAAAGGAAATTATGTAGGAAACAAGTAGAAAGAACAACAAATATGAATTTTAAAGTGTCATTTTAATTTTTCTTATTTATTCTTATATTTTAATACGAAAAGTTACTTCAATAAAAAGGTACTGTTTATAATTACTATTTATTTATAAATTATACATAATATAGTACATTATTTATTTTATTATATTAATATAAATAATATTTTAGTTTATTTATTTAAATAATTATTTTTCTGTTATAACTTATAATATATTGAAAATCATGTATTGTAATCAAGTCTTGCACTTTCTCCAGCCCAAGAATTAATTGAATGATTTTTGTAGTAATGTAATTCCTTGAAACTATGTCTCTGATGTTTAATTTAATTGAAAACCATTTATTATGTAATAGAGTCCATACACATTGGCGTATTGGACATTTCTTCTATTTTTTGTTATAAGTTTCTTGTTTTTATTTAAATTGTATTTTTATAACCAAGTATATATAAAAAAAAATATATATTAAACCTAAAGTTTTTTAATGCAGTGTTAGTAGAAACCACTTGTATCATTTAAATTTTCTACTGTGGATATTAATTGTTTTGAGATAAATAAAGTAAGTGTATGTAAATAAACGTATTATTTCAGACTTGTTTATTTTTATGTTATGTACAAAGCAGCAAAAATTAATTTAAACAGGGGCATAATGTGGTACACTGGATAGCAAGAGCAGTTTAATAAAATTATAAAAAAAAGTACGTAAAAGTCAGTCTAATAAAAAAAAAGCCAAGTACAGTTGGGCGTAGTGGGGACGGCGAGGTTACTGATCTACAGGAATTATTATAACCAAAAATGATAAAATCACTTTTAAATAAATGCCTCGATGCGAATCTGAAGTTCAAACCAGTAAACTTTGTATGAAAAAGCGCAAGAAAGAAATTCCACCCCTTCTAGGAGAAAGGATGTATGATAACTGTTTAGGTTGTCAACGTTTGTCGGTAGTACTATTTCTTAATTATATTCAATACAAATTTGGAACTAATTGGACTATTTTGAAAAAAGATGAGGATCATTGCAATTTTAATTTAAAAAAGTTTACATTTTTTGGGTGTTTTCTCGATTTTGAAGGGGAAGGGATGAACTGTTTAAATTTTTGGTCTAAAAAAATTACCTTACACTTACGATTTCTGATCTTAAGAGCTGCTACACAAAAAATCGGTTTAGTGGCTTAAAATATATGATAGGTACAGACACCAAAATAAAAAAACACATTGTAAAAATACAATATCTTCTCAGCTATCGCATCAATGCCAAAAGGTTAATTCTAAGAGAATCAAAATTTGTTAACCAAACACTTCTTGTGTTGACAAATTAGAACTCATTAATAACTCAGATTATTGGGTACAAATTAAACTTCCACAGTACTTGCTGTGTTATTAGTGAAAATTGTGGTTGTTCATCAATATTTCAGTCCTTTCTGTAATAATTCATAATAATTGTAAAATCTCAGTCGTTTTCAATAAATAATTAAAATCAATATTATTTACCACAGTTAATTTCTATGAAGGAAATTTTGTTACTGTAGTATCAACCATAGCAGGAGAAAAACAATTTTTTTAAATTCTAGTTAGAGAAAAAAAAAACTCACTCCAAATTTAGTTTTTTTTGTTGAACGAGCCAAATACTAAAATACATAACCGATATTGCAAAATAAAATAATTAAAGATTTCCTTTACAAAATGATAATATATTATAAATGAATAGCTTTCATATTTTTAAAAATAAAATAGGTGTGACGCTGTCCCATTTTCAGTGGCGTGCGCAGGAATTTTGTATGGGACATCTACTTATCTACGAACATTTAAAATTAAAATAATTATGTTACCCTTCTAAAAAAAGCAATATTAATTTATATTTAGAGTGGATATAAGTTATAACTTATACAGTTGTTGCCAGATAACTTGACACAGCGACGGCGGCGCGAAAACTCAAAGCCAAGAGTTCTCTGCATTTTATATTTTTTTGTATGTATTTTATGCATTGTCGAAGCGCCAAAGTCCAATGCGCCTTGTAAGTTGTAAGAAGTCTTTCTAGTTTTTTCTTTTAAACAAAAAAAAAGTTATCGAAAGCGGAACATTAATAGCTCATACGGTTATATAAAGTGTCATGGAAGAATATTAGTTGTTTTCTTTTCCATGTCGCAACAGTATCACCAATCACAGTTCCATCAGCAGCTGTATCAATTACTATCAAAACGCTTTTTGATATCTCATATCTACAATATAGCGCTGAACTGTAACGAATTGGTGAATAATAATAATATATATATTATAGTCAATAGAAAGCAATTATTGTGATTTGTGTTATTACTTTTTGGATTAGAGTAAATTTATTTTTACTTGACTGTATCTGCGCTTTTTTAAAATTATTTTACAATAATTTTATTATTTTTGACATTTTAATAAACCTGAACATTGGCCTACGGAGTTTTGAAGGACAAATTAAGACTGGTGAGTGCATCCTTTTATAGGCAAATATTATGTTGTAACTAAATAGCCGTCTACTAAATATTTGTATTGTTTTCATTTGCAAGTTTTAATAAGCTGTCTAGATTACTATATAAACTGTTTAAGTTACTTACTACTAAAATATGTACTTAAGTTGAATAAGTAAGAATATTTTTGTTTTCTTAATCTCCAATCTACAAATGGTTATTAAATAATATTGGACATTTTATTTCATAAATAGTGGCAATAGTCATATAATGCTTCTTGTTAATGTGACAACTACTAAGCATACTAGTAATTATAAAGCTCAAGTAGCTATAACATTGAACTAGTGGAACCATGGATTCTGATCTCAGATAAACTTCACTTATGATATAAGTTCACTCTTGGATATAACTTAAGATAAAGAAATGAATGTACAGTTTACAACTTTTAATTTTTAACTGTTAACTTTTTTCCTGGGTTGTTTACTATTATTATATCAGTCCCTGTATCGTAAACTATTTATTAGCATTGAGTTACAATATTTACTCAATGGTAATAGTTTTTTTTTAAAAGCAAGTACTAAATTTCTTCTAAAATGTATGGTAATTTGTTATATCTAGATTTAACTTATTCGTGTTTCTCCTCTTGATGTTAATTATTTTTTACTTTGCAATTTCTCTTCATTATCTGAATGTTGACGTCAGTTAATATAGTTTTTATACTTCACTTAATTTTCCACAATCTCTATATTTGTTTTAAATCATTTGTTTTTACATGTAAATATTGTAATTGTGTAATTACTGTCACAATTATTCTTTGTTTTTATCAATATTTTTTAATTTCTACGCTGATGACTTTTTTATGTTATATACTTTTTAGTTTGATTGACACTAATTTGTTCTATAAAATGCTTTGAAAATTTTCATAATTTTACATTCTATGCTATTATCATGTTTGAAGCTGGTGCATAACTGAGTGAGATAAAGCAGCAAGGTGTAACATCACACCTTGTCTGTTTCTCCAGTCGGGCGTTTGTCTGGGAAAGAAATGCTACCTGTCTCTCTTGGGTGCCAAACTACTTTCATAATTGAAACGGTCATTTCAAAACGATACAAGTCATAAAATTGAAATTTTACACTTAATATTACACAGAAATTCAACTTATTTTGCACTTACACCTTTTAGTATTTACTAATTGATGTTTAGGATTTCTGATATTCATAATCCATAGATTTAAATAGTCTAACTTTGACCATAATTTATTAAATTGAGATAAAACATATTTGCAGGGAATAGAAATTTATCATATAAAAATTAGGTCAAGAAATAAAATAAAATAAATGAACAGAAATGTTATTAATATTATTGTAAAAACTGGTATTATTTTTTAAAATAAAATAAGATGTAGTAAAATAAATAAAGTTTTTAGACAGACTACGTAACTACGTATATAATTACCAAAGTTGACAGTCATTTTTAAAAAATTGGTGACATGTCGTTTTTGAAATGAGTGATTTAACTAGGTCAGCTAGCTGTTTAATTTAAAATTTGCTCAATCCAATAAACTGTTTGAGCCCCAATCGTTAGAAAATAAACGGGTGTTAAATGTGAAAAAAATTACTGTTTTGATGTTTATTTCAAAGTATTTTTTTGCAATACCAATCATATCAGTATTCCATATTATACTCAGGCAGAATCTATGATAATAGCATTACGTCTTGCTGCGCAGGCACATATGAGGATAGCACGTTTATCTGCGCCGGTTCCTTCTCTTATGGGCTGGAATATAATTTTATGCAACACTGTTTTGTTGCTTTGCTAATGCTATTTGTACTTCTGAATTATTATTAATAGTATTAATTAAAATAAAAATCAGTGAATTCATAATTAAAAATAAAAATTGAAATATGCTAACATATACTTTGATCATATTGAAAATGAAAAAAAAATCAGATCATCTTACCTATTTAAGATTTAATTAAAACATAAGAAATTATGATCTCTTTTATTATTATTTGAGGAAACCGTACTAAAAGCTGTATGGAACACCAATCACACAAATCAATTACCTTTGATTAGTGTATTAATTTCTGGAAAAATATTTAACTTCACATCTATGATCTACAAAGTTAAATGTAGATGTTATTGTAAAAGAGTATACTAACCATATTCTTAAAACTAATAATCACGGAATCTATCAAACAATTAACAAATTTAGTTAATTTCCATTATGATATTGACTTAAAACGATGTTTAATTGCCTCTCTTAGACGCGACTTCTGAAACATGACTTATTATGTTCAGTTTTAAAAATAATTTGTTGTAGTAGAAAGTGTAAATAAATGTGATTGATGTTAACATCGAAGCTAAAAAATTGTTTCCATACTAAACACGTTTCAAATAATGAACACCCAACCAGATTCACTGTGATTAAAAAAATGTCAGGACTAAAACAATTATTGTTAAAATTGTAATGCTAAAACTAAACTTAATTATATAATTATTTGCACAATAATGATGAGTCTTCATAGGTATATAGGTTATTTGGTAAAGTACGGAATTTGCTATACGTTACGATCAGATGTCACGAAATGACGTAATTTAATGGCCAAGTTTAGTGTGCTTAGCGCGACCGGCACACGGTTCAAACCTCGGCCG